AAAAAAAAGACCCCTGACTGACCTCAATGTTTGATATAGGGGAAATTATTTATTTTTATAAAATAAAAATGCATTAAACACTTGTTTAAAACTTTAGGTTTTAGTGTATTTCTACTTTTTGCTGTTTTATTTCAACTTCAGCCAGAAATCAGTGTTTAAAGCACCCTCTGCAGGACTGGAGATGTGTTATATTTCTGAACAATTGCTTGCTTCTCCTTTGTTAAAACTTTGGTTTACATACAGTAATATTTGGGGAAGGTGGGGGGTTACGAAAAATTGGAAATAAAGTTTAGTCAAACACGCGCTGTTTCTGTTTCTGTGTCTCCAGACAGTGTCTACAGCTGTTGATAGGAAATCTGTTTCTGTCGACTCCTGCTCACAAAAGTAAACAGCTGGATGGCGATTATATCACATGACCAGAAAGTGGCCAGGATTAAAGATACATTTGGGGCGAAATAACCCATGCGTTAAAGTCGCACCATTTACGACAGTCATTGGTAAACAACCGACACGACTTCCTGTGTGTTGCGCTGTCATCTAGCAGGAAAACAGCAGTTCGTTCGACTCCCCACGGCTGCTGTGCTATCGTTAGCTCAGAGACGCTAACTGTCCAACAGGTCTGTTCGGTTTTACCCATAAACGTAAAACTGCACAGGAAAAAGTACAGTACACACACAAAATAGTCCTTACCAGAACTGGTGTTGCTGCGTCACGGAGTACAAGTGTCGCTGCCCGGGGTGTTATGTCAATAAACACCAGTTTCTTTCACGTCATTACCGTCGCTCTCTGCACGCTTTTGTAAGCATAGCATTGTAAAACCTCATACAGTCAGGCTCCGCCCACTAACTCCACCGCTGGATACACACACGCACGCGCGCGCGCCCCCATACTGATATTCTTCGCAGGAAATACTTGGGGCAATAAACTAACTCTCAAAAATAACGTCAGAATTACTCCTCCATCTCTCCGAAGTAGAAACTTGTTTTCTGCTTTCGCTCATAATTGTTTGGGGTAATTATTTAATAGTTTTCAGGTGTTTTTCGGGCAAAATGCAGGATTTTCGTCAAGATTTGCCGCGTTCAAATGTAATTTTTCCTTATTTACAAATATATTTATCTATGAAAATAATGTAAAAGTTATCCAATATATGACTTATATTTATTCCACCATCAAAATGACCCACAGCATTAAAAAAAAAGTTCTAAACATGAAGTTATTTCTACACCTATCCTCCAGTTCTACTTCTACTTCTGTCTATGTAAAGTAAATTATGTCTGTTTTCCACTCTGTGGTAACAAAATATAGGAAAAGTATGTTCTTAAGAATAATATTAACTCTAATATGAAGTCACTGGTACAGATTTTTCATCATCGCGTTAGTGTTTAAAAATAATTTCTCTTTATTTTGCCACATAAATCAGAATTTTAATGTACTGTTATACAAATCTTTCAATAAATCTCCTTCTGACACAAAAATAACCATTATGTTACACAGGCGCACACACGCATACACACCTACAACAAGGACACATGCTCATACACACACACACTCACCAGAAACACACTCCCATACATGCAGACATACACACTCACGAAAAAAATGCGCCATTTGTGGTTTGGCACTTTGGACATATGGAGCAGTTTACATTGATCTGCTGGTTTGGGTGGCCATGCAGTGCAATAATCGCTATGTTTTTTGAAGAATGACATCCCTTTCTTTAGTTTGGGCCACACTCACCTACACAAGGCCCCAGGCTACAAACGTACTCTACATGAGACCACATTGACATGTACGGATCACATGAACACTGGTACACACACACGGTAATGGCAGGAATATGCAGTTAGAATGTCTTAAAATGAAAGTAAAAGGGGAAAAAATGTCCACACTTTCTTACAGCTCACCTCTGCCTCTATGTTATATATCACATGACACGAAAGTACCAAACCAACCACATTAACAGAAAGGACGTCGGAACTAAACTATGCACAACTCCAAAGTGTTTTTGATATCATGGGATACATCATTTCTCAGAGTACTGCTGCTCAAACATTTCCATAGTGAAGTGTCAAATTCAACTATTAAAACGTTTGTTTTCTGTTACAAAAATTCATCAAATCTGTTCAATGATACCTGTCACTGGAATGGGTGTCATAAAGAATACTCTGGTGGGTGTGCACGACTGGAGGTGAGCTGTGGACCCAAAACAACATGAGGAACCAGTGTCTCTTATTCAATACAGTAAACGCACCCTGAAACGTCGCCTAATCTAACATAAACGCACACACTATGGGAGGCCAGCTACCGACAGCTGGTCTGGGTGTTTTAAATTTTGTACAATACAATGTCACGTACATAAATATCACATTAGGTTTCCTCACATCCAAATGTTATGCGTGTATTGACCGACCAGAACCAGAGACATGTGGTCAGAATTTGGGAGCATTTTTACATTTATTTGACTCGTAATGAAACCTCATTATAATCAGTGTAATTAATGGGGTGAGTGTACGAATCAAAGTAGGTTGGACCTGACTGTAAACACTGTGTTTTATGTAATAACTAATTTCTTTGATACAACAGACATTTGAAAAGAGAGGAAACCTGTTGTGTTCAAACATACAAACACTAAAAAGTGGTCTGGTCTTACCCTTGAACCCCTGGTCAGGACTCCTTTAAAAAGTTTTCTAAATAACAACAGGGTTAATAAAAACTCCCTTTAATACACACATTTATCCTATGAGCGGTGGTGGTCGAAAACAAGCAGCAGATATGAATAATATAAAACAAAAACAATCACATGAGTCCAGTGTCTCATTTAGACTTTACAAATGCTGGAGGTGGAAAAAAACGAAGAGACGTGAAAGTCAGATTTCACTTTGGGAAAAAAATAATAAATCTTTGAATATGAATTCCTTGTGGAATTGTTACAAACACCTACGTACAAAACATATCATGTGAGTTATTCGTTAGAAAGACGTAGAAATTAAACAATGTTACGAGGATCCTAAGGCCTGTTTGAAATTTAAATTGGCAGCTGATGATAAAAAAAAGATGTTGGATTTTTTTTTTCCGACATAAACACATGTACTGTTTCCAGACAATGACAAAAACCCTCTACATACTTCACTTCCCCTGTGGTTTGAACTAAACCACAGGGGTGTGACCGGCTTTTCAGGCTTTTGCAGCATGCCATCCTAACGAAGTACATGGAGGGTTTAAGGCAGCTTGAAAGTCTTAGATTTCACTCAATGCAAAAGAACATTTATCACTCATTAGTTTACAGTGTGACCATTGTTACATCTCTGGTCTTTTCCATGTCAGAAGTGTGTCTGTCGTCTTTCTTGCTACTTTGCTTGCAATTGCCAGGAGGACAATGATGGGGTTTTTTTTCTCTTTCTGTTAGGATTCTCTATAATCTTCCAATTTTTTTTCTTTTGGTTCTTCCTTCTTGTTAACAAAATCCATTTCTCCGTGGGTTTCATTGTTCCTTTCAGTGTTTCTGGGCACAGGCCTGGCTGTCAACGTTCTGGGCCTCATGAGGTTTTGTCTTTCTGGTTGCAGTTGTTGTCTGTGCAGTTGTGCTCGTTCTGGTTGTCCTGTTGCCTCTCCTTCTGTAGGCTGTATGTCTGCCCTTTGACCTCTCTGCGTCTCTTTTTGACAGGCAGGGCCAGAACGACCAGCAGACACAGGAGGTGTAAGCAGAAATACCAAGACCTGTGTAAAAGAAGAAGGCATTAAAAAACACTCTTTGTCATACAGTAGGTGAATCACGTACGACTCCGCTCCAGAGTACAAAAAGTGTCGCGTTCATCGGATTCTCTGGTTTACGTTACCTACAATACGGTAGCTGCTGTGACAGCTGCAACTTCGGCAATAATCTGTGTTGACCTGGCGGTTTACGTCTGATATCAAGCTGCTCTGCTCGTCAAGCTAGCATGCAATAATTATCTACTACTATCTACTATTATAGTGAATAAAAGTAAGAAAACATGTTCTAAATGTTGATGTTTCTTAACATATTTTGTAGCATTGTCTCTGGGTCTTCAAAGGGGTCCCCATCCAGAGGCTAATGCTTTTTGGGGGCCTCGACATGAAAAACTTTGGGAACCTTTGCTCTAGACCATCAAAAACACACAAGCAGTGCATAGATTAGAAGCTGGCGACAGACTACATAAACACTTTTTATATATTATAGCTCAATATCCATTCCAGGATCTAAACACTGTGACAGAAAATACGATGTAAACCCTGTTTCACCACCAAGTCCTTCTTACATCTCTGTGCCTTTAATGACTCTTTAATTCCTGCCACGTGTTGATTTAACACTCATCCCTTACCCTCCCTCACTCTGAACGGCACTGGCCATTGTCTGCTTTTATTGCATGGCATGGCGGCAGGCGAGCACCGTTAAAGACCCGCTTAAGTTACCTCCACATCATCAATCCTGCCTGTCCTTTGCTCATTAAGCTGTCTCATTAACTCTTACAGCCTGTTTAGGCTAACAGAATGGAACCAGGTTAATGAAAGTGTGAATTTGCAACACTGTAGGCACTGACTTAATGTACAAGCATGATGGATATATCTATAATGAACAAAACAATTAGAATTATAGCTCTCTCTAAACCAAAACAGTTAAAATGGAAAGGAAGGGATTTTTTTAAATAATTCAATTACTTAAGTTATCCTTCCTGAAGGCTCACATACAGATGTGATCGAATTGATGAAAATAATGTTTTACAATAATAAGTCAGAATTTGAACTGCTGTTGGTTCAGCAACGAGCTCAATGAGCTCATGAAAAACTCTCTGTTTAAAAGACAAAGCAAGGCCAAAGAGCTCTCTGTTTAAAAGACAAAGCAAGGCCGTTTGAAGACTCCAGGTAATACAGAACTAGCAAAACACAGACAAAAGCTAGTAATAAAAAACATTAAAAAGAAATCTGTCAAATACCTCAACATTTGCTAAAAGATAATGGATTATTGTGTTATCTACATTAAAAAATGTATTTGTGAATATATGTTTACCAAATACATATATAAAAAAGTAGTCTTTTAGCAATGTGACTGCTCTTAGCCAACGAGTTAGCATGTAGGTTTGTAGAACTTCCTAAATAATAAAATAAAATAAAATTAGAAAAAAAAAACAGTCGATAGTTTAATAAACAAAAGGCTAGAAATAACAAACTAAAGTCAGGAAATAATATAAGGAGCCAAATATTAGGCAAACAACAAGCTACACACAGCAATAATGTGTGCGAGTAAAACTCAAACTCAAACTGCCCTGTAAATGATCCAAAATGTTTTTGACAGCATAATTGGCACGAGACAAAACAAACATAAAAAACAATTATCTACTCCTATTAGCATGACAGCTACATTTATATGACAGGTAAATGAATATAATTTTGTGCATATTTTTGAATTTAATACCTTGAAACTTACAAAGAGAGGGCCGTAGTTATAACTTCACTGACTGTAAACCATTGAGTCAAACACTTACCAGTAGAATTTGAGTGAAGGCCCCACTGCCAGTAGGACAAAAGGCACCACTGTGTAGCTGATGGCGACCTGAGTAGCCGCCCACGTGATGACATCATAGATGCGCTTGTGCGAATCAGAGACCAGAAAATATGGTCTGATGTTGTTTCTTACCTGGCAAAAAAATGGGAAGAAAAAAAATCTCATCACTCAAAAATCTTGACAAAAGTAAATGAAGATGTGTTCTAAAAATAACCTTTTCCCTCAACATACACTTTGACTGAACTGGGCCGACTGACCTACTTTGGGAGATATCTATATATGACAGCAGGCATTACGTCACCGTTCTGCTAGTTGTCTCTGTCGCTATTATTTTTTTTTTCTGTTCTTTATCATAATCTTCAATTTAACAGTGTAGTACAGGCAAACTATGGCCCGGGGGCCGGATGTGGCCCGCTTGGCTTTTTAATCTGGCCCACAAAACTTTTCCAAATTATGTTATTAATTTCTATTTTCATTATATTTCTGCCTTTCCCCTGCAATACCACATTTCCCAATAGATGGCATAGACAAGGCTGAACGCATTTTAGCATGTTAGCCTTTACTGACATGTCATTTGTTTTAGTTCATACGAATGCTCCATCTATCTGCTCCTGACCCAGCCCCCCGTTTGCCCATGGCTGGTGTAGTACGTTTAGTCCTGTCACAAGAGTGACGAGATCAGTCAGAGCCGAGATTACTGGTAATGATCTTTACAGTTTAAATTAGCAAAAGCAGCGTAAAGCTATCACTAGCTCCTTAATCTTTTTAAGATGTTTGTTTACAAATCACTTGTGGTGAGTCTTAAGGGTTCACAGAGAATACCAGACCAAGGAAACCTCAGAAATGATCATTTCTCTTCATTATTATTAATGTTTTTTTTTACCGGTGACTAATGCAACAATGGGAGGAGGTTCTGTTCTGTACTCACGGCACGTGCTGCCATGGTCATGGCGATGCCTGTGACAAAGGTCAGGTAGTAGCCGGGGTAAACACCGTGCCACATGGCTGACAGCATGAAGGTGGCAGCAGTGGGGTTAATGGGACAACGCTCATAGCAAACCCTGCAGATGACACACACACACACACACATTACATCACCAGTGTCCAGTGTCTGGTCAAACAAACTGAAGTCGTACTTAGAAAGAAAGGTTCATTTCACAGTTTGAAGACGATACGATACAGATCGGACCAATCATATTAGCTCTGTGTTTTACTCACTTTGAGTAGTTTATTTGTTTGTCGTGCCATAAAACTGAGTATCTGTGGCAGTGTTGGAACTGAATTTTTTTTGTACCTGTTAAAATGCCAGCTAATTTTATTTAAGTGACCCAGATGTTTATGGCACAACTCTGTCCAAAAACCCTACTACAACAGCCCTTTAATTATAATCATAAACACCCAGTACTTCAGGCAAAATCATTTCTGTTTTAATATTTTTGGCCTATTTTACTCCTTAAAGTCACCCAGATTAATTTTGATTAACTTGGGTGATTTTAAATCTTTTGCTGATTTTGAAGAACACTTCTGGGCTTAATAAGAATTTTAACAAATGTCCAGAATGACATATTATCAAATTTTGGTCAACGGTCTTCCTTTCTTGGATGAAAAATTAAACATAAAACAATATACTAAGCGTTAGAGTTAAAGGATAATGACAAAATATATTTCTGCAAGCCTGTGATTAATCTGATCAATCTTCAATCCACAGCTGTACTTTTAAAGTTTCCAACAGACAATTGTGGATAAAGCCTTAATAATTTATTGTATTTAGAATAAATGTCCCCTGTAGAATTTCTCCTGGATCTTATTCTTTGGTCTAATCAGATTAGAACACATTGTTTATTTTGTTTTATCAAATACACCAAACTCTGTTGGAGAGTCTTGATGCTTTTTTACCTTTTGAGCCAAAGAGATGTCTGGATATTCCAGTTGTCTAAGAAGCTCTTGAAGCTGGTGGCTGACTGGAATTAGATCATAAGCACAAGATGTTAGAAGCTTAAAGGAAAATAAGAAAGCTGAGTATTTGAACAGATATCTTGAACAGAATTCAACCTCAATGTCCAGAATTCTGAGATTTGATATGAGGTCCCACCGAGGTGAGCCGTCTTTGTTGTATCCGTTGAATCCGAACCCGGCAGCGTTGTTGATCGCATCAGCTGCAGGAGAGAGGAGGACAAATGTTTCTGAGAGTTAAAACAACGACAACAACAACAGAAGCAGCAGTGATGGACGGCAGCAGCCAACACTCTAAGAACCAATGACACAAACAGATGGAGGCGTAGCATCACAAAAGATGTGGGATTTCTGTTGAACACTAGATGGCACTGTTTTCACAAGAAATGGTCTTTTCTTCTGACATCACACAGAGACTTGAGGAATAAAAAATGAGATCTTTGAAGTCTCAGCAGTTCACTGAGTTCACATCAGTTAAAGGAGCAGAGGAGGCGGCCAACAACTTTGTGTCTCCACTCGTAACTTCAGTGGGTGGCAACCTGTTCTAGTGTAACAGGTGCAATTCATACCCACCCAGTGTCCACACGAAGTAGTACTTTGGCCTCAGTGCCAGCATGGCCAGGTACAGGTAAACAACCTGCAGATGGAACGGTGTGGAACTGATAAAGTCATCGTCTATGGAGTGTTCCACAGGCAGCAGCTTGCACAGCGACAGATAGACGGCCAGTGAGAGGGCGCACGTGCACAGCTTGGAGATGACATCATTCTGGGTGGAGATGAGGCAGAGGACGAGAGAACGAGGCACAAAAAGATCCTGGTTACAACTCAATACACTCCGTCCCATTCACAAAAGAACAATACAGCTCTCTGTGGAGGCGTGGCCTGTCTCCAAGGTTCATTACTGTTGAAGTATAATTAGGTAACAGACATATTACAACTGTTATGTTCTTAACTAAAGCTTTTTAAGAGTAGTTAATTATGACTGTAATTGAACATTCGTTACAGTGACGACAAAGAATCTTAGGGAACGCTAGAAACAGGAGGATGTTCAGGAACCTGAAAAACTTACTTCATGAACGCAGATATTATTTAATTACAGATGTTAGTTCTGAATGTGTTCAAATTTAGCCAAAGAATTTGCCAAAATACAAACACAAATACAAGTAGAGGTTAGCCAACAATACATTAGTTGATACATGTCTTATAATTAGGTCAGAAATGGTAAAAAGTCGGCAACTGTCTGTGAAATCAAACTGCCAAAAGACAAGAGACAACACAAAGAAATGGTCAAAAAATAGTCAAATGTTGATTGTGTTCATAAAGCTGAACACAATTAGTCGAAGGTTTATTTAAAATATTGGCTTTACATCGCTTAAATTGAGGCAGCTAACAGAAAAGCTAACGAAGCTAACCAAACGTAGCTAGTTCAAATGCACTGCTTTTATCAACTACGGTTTAAAATGAGTCAGAAGATTCAATGAATCTGCATTGCAAATGATTGTAAATGTACCCAAAGATAAATCAGAAAAGCAAATATAGTTAAGGTTGTCTAAAATTATAATGTATTATGCTAACATCATAAAATTTGTTTTGCATACAGGAAATAAGTAGTAGTAGGAGTTTCATTAGATCATTAAATTGTCCATATTCCAGGAGACATGTATATTCATATATGCAGTAGATGGAATCACTTCAGACTCCTCTGGGCACCCAAGGCTTTTTACAAACAATTGTTCTGAGTGGAATTTAGCTCTGCAAAATCAAAACAACAGATCCTGATCTCTGTATGTATGTTTACCAATCAGTACTCAGTCTTCCCATTTTTAAAAAAGTATTTATTTATTTATTTTACTTTACCTTAGGTGAGGGTTCACTTTGCTTGTACTTCCCGTTCTCCTTGCCATTGGCGTTCTCCTGGTGGCGTGGCTCGTAGCACGTGCCTTCAATAAAGGCCATGTAGTCGTTGTAGGAGCAGGTGGGTCCGGCCAGGATGCCCATAAAGTTACAATTGTAGCTCAGGTATTCCAGCAAGCTGGGCATCCGACTAGAGGGTCAGAGAGAAGAACTTATGTTTTTAAAAGGCTACGGTCACTTATTTACAGAAAACAATTGCTGTTGATAACTTTTCAACCAACTACATTTTTTTATTTCATTATCTGTATTTTAAACATATATTTTTTGGTAATTAATGTTGTCTGAGCTGGTCATACGTATGTGTTAGCATCGATTGATTGATAGTGTCTCTTGACATCGATTTCCGTATAAACAGCCACAGTCAGGGTGAAAAATACTGCAGTTTCCACTTGTTCTGGAAACTGACCAGATAATAAAATAATAATAATAATAGTATAGTATAATGTTAATAATAATATAATAATATAGTATAATAATAGTATAATAATAATAGTATAATGGGCGCACATCGCCACAGGGCGACTACTCCATGTTTTTGTGAAACATAAAATTGCATTTTATTTTGTGTGTATTTATACTCAGGGTCTAGCAGGTCACAAGTGATCCATTTTATGACAAAGGTTGTAGGCCGTATAATTTGTCCTTGGGCTACAATTGGTCCCCGGACCAGAATCTGCACATGGGGGGGTAGTTTGTCAATCAATAGCAGGACCATATATGGAGACAAATAACAGCCACACCTGGAATTGAACGGCTGATTTTCTCACTGTAAGGCAGAGGCATGAACCACTCTTGAACCTTGTGGCCCATGAGGCCTTTTTTATAGGTCTTCATACAACACACACGTGGCCCTCTGTTACCCATAATGCTGCTTCAACATCACACTGAAACCTATAGATCTCTACAATATACCATAGATACAAAACTTGTCCTGCAGCTGATAAATAAAAAGGTCACACCTGAGTCATGAACATTTACGTCACTGGTCTCTTCAGTACCAACACATGCCCCCTCCCACCCACTCATATCCGGCTTTCTGCAATCTTTCCACAGTGCAGCTGCAACCTCCGTGTGCAATACTAATGATGAGGGAAACTCTCTCTGCACTAGTACTGCGGGTCTGATAAGGCGTTTTAACAATAAAGGTCGGCAGAGAGAAGTAATTGTGTGGTTTCCTGGATACCAGGTGGCCAACAACTGCGCAGCAAACAGCAGCCAGAGAGGGGAGGCTGTGGGAGGAATTTCTATACAAGAAATGGAACGGTTAGTTGAACTGGTTTTTTTGCTTAGGCCTCGCTGTCTGTCTAAAGGCTGAATTTGAAAACGGCATCAACTTTGAACGGTTTCACGGCATTAATCCATCATCTGAAGCAGCAAAAACATACCTGAGTCACATACCTGATAGCTAGGTATTTCTGATTGGGGGTGAGCTGTCCCTCACGTTTGGTCAGTCCTGCGGAGAGACACAGAGAGAAAGACACTTTAATTACGACATATATAATGAGTATTACTTCTATAAAACTCTCCTTTTATGTACATTATAATGAGACAAGCACTTTTTGGGGGGGAGGGGGTGGCGGGCGGGGGGGGTTGCATCCAATTATATCGTTCATCAGAATAATCCTGCCTTCCTGCAGCTGAGTAAGCACAGCCAAGTGGGTGAGGGTTGAGGAAGGGAGAGGAAAGAAGATATGACGTAACACAAAGAGAGGGAGAGTAGGTGTGTGTGTGTGTGTGTGTGTGTGTGCAACCTGATAACCCGGGTGTTTCACTGTTTCCTCTGGCCCTATAATCATAAATACATCATAAATACTATCAGCGAAAACAGTTTTGAAAGCCGTTGGCGGGGGGCGGGGGGGTTGCATCCAATTATATCGTTCATCAGAATAATCCTGCCTTCCTGCAGCTGAGTAAGCACAGCCAAGTGGGTGAGGGTTGAGGAAGGGAGAGGAAAGAAGATATGACGTAACACAAAGAGAGGGAGAGTAGGTGTGTGTGTGTGTGTGTGTGTGTGTGTGCAACCTGATAACCCGGGTGTTTCACTGTTTCCTCTGGCCCTATAATCATAAATACATCATAAATACTATCAGCGAAAACAGTTTTGAAAGCCGTTATCTTTGTCACCGAGACAGATTGTAAAGGCTCACGTTCACATTTTCATAACTTACAGTCTGAAATTTATTTATACACCCTGGATACAGTGGGTAAGTAGAGCAAAGTTTAACTCCGTTGGCCCTCGGGACCAGATTACACCGACTTAATTATCACCATTTTATTATGAGATTAACTGTGAGACCTGTCTAACTATAGAGGCTTTAAAGAAAAATAGCAGTATTTTAATTTGTTACTAAATATGTGTGACTAGTAATTGATTAATCCACCTACCCAGTGACACCAATTGCTTTTGGGGAAGCTATTTGGGCTGCAGAACCACTGCTGGCCAGTAGGACTGGCGACAAGGAACTCGCTTTACCCTGGAGCAGCGGTTACCAGACCTTTCCTGCGGAGTCTAAATTTAATCTACTGCTATTGTCATTAATCTACAGAAAAAAAAGATTTGTAATTAGTACAACCAAAAACATCTTTTACCGTTCTTGCTTGGCCTGCCTTCAAGGGCGCGCCCCCCAATTTTGGCAACCACTGTCATTGACGTCAGCTTAAATCATTGATCATTTTCTTTTACAAAACATTTTTTCAATTGTAACGTAATGTAATGTGTATATATATATATATATATATATATATATATATATATGTACATATATACATATATGTACATATAGATACATACATACTGTATATACATATATTTATATACATACATATACATATATATACATATACATATATATATATATATATATATATATACATATATATATATATATATATATATATATAAAAATGTTAAATATGTCAATAATATGTTGATATGTATGGGTGTGGTCAGTTGTTCCAACAGTCAGTAATTTCCTGGAAAATAGTGCAACCTTGTTCGACCTTTTTTGGGGCGGAGCTAATCCAGCTACAGTTACTGGTGGTGTTCACTCTTTATTCACACTTCTATACACTGTATTCAATTATATTTCACCGTCTAATTTTTTCAACAGAATTATTATTACCATCATTAAATTATGTTTTGTTGAAACATAAAACCATTATCTGAGACCGTGCACTTTTAACAAGAAACAACAGTAAAAAAAAAATCATCTATTTATGGCTGTTTGTTTTGCCGCTTCCCTTAACAACTGCAGACTTGGATGAGATAGCTTTGTCCATTCTTTTATATACAGTTGACGGTAAAAACATGCTGCACTTTAGGTGCTGTGCAGAGGCAGCACAAAATTTAACATAAGCGGCAGTAAAGTTGGCAGTAAAAACCCTGGTGGAACAGAGAGAGTGTCAAACTGGCAGAAAATTGTATTATCCAGGTCCACGGTCCATCAAATTCATTCTTGCGTCTCGTCCAGCGGTCAACATTTGACCCTGCTCTTTCCTCCTCCAGTCTCCAACCACAAATATTTATGAACACAAACCCCAGTGTAGAGAAACCTCTCGTATATATTTCTAGTTAGCATACGTGCTGAGAGAAACCTCTCGTATATATTTCTAGTAAGCATACGTGCTGCACCACTAATAGCTCGTCCCCAGCAGGTGGACGATAACGTGTAACCTGAGCAACTCAAGCTGCTCAGAGTTAAATGTCAAGAGGTCGACAGAGGTCTCACGGCCGGCCTGCTGCACATGTCTGGGTCTGATTAGTACGACTCGTAATTAATGAGCGAAGAAACTCTTTTAACACCATGTACTTCGGTTTGAACTGAGTATGTGTTTAGAGTCAGGCACGAAATACAGAACGAGTAAAGTACAGCGTGCACACACTTCCTGATCAGGATACAGTTGTGTTAACTGGCTGACTGTCAGGAGATACAGCTAACCCAGAAACATACACTGCCTGATTTGAAACTACAAATCCAATCATCCACTTCAGATTTAGTTTCAAGTCTGACACTTCAGAATTCACGCCAATCATCCACTTCAGATTTAGTTTCACGGCATTAATCCATCATCTGACATCTGACACTTCAGAATTCACAACATATTCATTCATTCAAGATCGTTCCAAGACACTGCCGGTCTACGCGCCAATGAATCCCTCGGCAAAACACTTGACCCCAAGTTCCTCAGGTCGGCAGTGTGTAAAAAAATTTACGAGCTAGAAGACAGTAAAACACACACACACACACACACAGACACAGACACACACATACACATACACACAGACACACATCATGTCTTACCGTCATGTAATTCAAAAGCCATACTGGTAATCTTCTGTGTTATAACCATCATGGGCCTGAAACAAAAGCAGTGAAAAAGACATTTATACATTTATAAATATTAAAAACATAACACAGTTAAAGCTAGGGCTGTCAATCTATTAAAAGTTTCAAATTATTTACAGGGTAGTTGTTGATTAATTGTGATTATTCATGATTAATCACATCGATTAATCACAATCGGAAGTTATGATGATTAATCATGATTATTCAAGATAAATGGTCAGTCTTTATTATGACCAAAATTATTTTTCTGTATAGTTGTGGAGCAGTAAATATCTGTTTCAGTATACCTGTTTTTATTTGGGATATTTGGGATTTATTTGATGAAATTATTAATATGGAAAAATGTCAAGGAAAATATGTGAAAGTAGAACTCGAAATTTAGCTTCATAAAGTTGACGGATTTCAGTCATTACTGTTTATCTGCTTTGAGTTGCTTTCAAAACTCGGATGAAGGCGTTGTCCTCAACAGTATTAATCAGTCAAAACGTCGCTCACGTTTGACAACTGTGTCAGTCAGATTGTCACTTGCAGACTTATTTACTGCCCTCCTCCCTGATGTTGAATCCTTCGCTGGAGGTGATGGTATTTTCAGCTGCGCAGTCTGTGCCAATAATAACTTGTGTATTACAGTATTAGTGTTTGTTAAGTAGATCTGGATCTACCAGTAGATCACAAAGGGAGCACTAGTAGATCCTGAGCAATATATATAAACGACATGTTCAGTTCATATGAGTAAATATACAGTATATTTAGTTTTTTTCAATGTAGGTAGGGTTTTACCCTTAAAGCAGTACTCAAACAGTGGGGCGCTCCCCCCAAGGGCGTAAGGGGCTTCCAATGGAAGTGTGGACATATGTGTACCACAGCTGTGATGCATGAATGATAACAAACCTCCAGTCACTAGGAGGCAGCAACACACACAGTGGTTTGCACATATACAAATATCTAGCAAGAATAGATGGTGAATATACTGGGCATCCAGTGCATTCGGCCACTGTTTTAAAATTAATTGAAAAAAAAAATCAGATTAACCTTCACAAATAAATTAGCTCAAGTTAAACGTACATTTTGACAGCCCTAGTTTAGGACATAATCAGGTCGAGTTAAGTAAGTAGCCTGATTTCCCCATTCCCTTCAAAAACCACCACATACGTAACTACTGATCTGATAACAAAGTCTCATCTCTCATCTCTCATCTCATCTCATCTCATCTCATTTACAGTTTGATCTATAAATAGCTTGCATTTAGATACAAGGTCTAAAAACAACACCGTCTTCAAAATTCTTCTCCAGTGAAACTGATGGTTTAAGGTGTCGGAGGAAAAAGAAAAAAACCTCAGACAGTGAAATTATTAGATGTTTTCAGGAGGAAAAGCAGACATCGGAGCTGAAAGAGCAAAATCTCTGCTCCTGCAGAGCCAATATGCGTTTTCATGAGGTTGCTTAGAAACCAGCCTCCCCTTCCCCCTCCCTGTACCGTCAGACAGTCTGGACGAGTGGGGACTGACCACAGTTCCTCCTGTGGACACAGCTGAGCACTGCGACCAGCCCTCGCTCTGCCGCTCACGCTCAGACTGGCTCGGTCTTATGCAACGATCCCACGACACTCGCGGGTAACTTCCATTTATAGCTTGATTTGCTCTCCATGAAAGATTAAACAACGAAAGCCAGGGGAGGCCTTTCATGCGTTTAATTAAAAACCAACAAGACGTCAAAACGGCTCCTGTGCTGTTTGTGCAGCTCACCCTGTGAAATCTGCAGAGTACATGCCGTAGTCAAACACGTAGACTCGTGTGATCTGACATATGATCAGGTAGCCCATGGTCACGATGAAGCAGTACCTGCACAAAGACAGAAAAGAAAGGAGAAACAGTAATTAGGGATGATAATAACAATAAAAAAAACAACCCAAGGTGGTGGGTTTTAAAAGGTTGTTTTTCTGACTCAGTATAAATCACAGTGTTCTCAGAAATAGACCGAAGTTGGACAAAAGAGCAGAGGAGGCTCCGATAATGTGTCACTGTCTCACAATGGCTGCTGGTGGCAGAGGGACAACAGAACAGAAGACAGAGCAGCCTCGAAGCCTGAGCCACAAAGCACAGAACAAGTGAGAGGGAACATTCCACCGTTGGTGACAACGGGAGGATTTTTCTGTCCGTACAAGGAAGACAGAACAACAGCCAGAGTGACGCTGCACAGAGATAAGACCTAACATGATCTTTACATTCTCAGGGAGGCGACAGCACCAGACATGGTAAAAGAAATAAAAAAAAAAAAAGAAAAAGAAAAAAAAAGTGATTTACGGGGCATATGGCAGGTCAAATACATTTTATTTTCAATATTTTTAAAATTGTGCCACAAAGGGCACAAAATTCACTGATTTGTGATTATATTTACATTTTAATGGGAATATCAATTTTAGGAATTGATATTTTGAAGCAATAGCTGTGAATGCGTTGACAGGAGGGGGCGCAATACAGGTAGATAGATACAGCCCATTGTAAACCCCTAACACACACATTCATCTTCTAATTCTTACTTCTTTTCAGGGCTGCAAGGGGCTGGATCTAATCCCAGCAGTCAAGAGCTGAGGGTCAGGTACTAGAGCTGAGGGTGAGGTACACCCTGGACACTTCAGCAGTCCAACACGGAGCTACATGTAGAGACAAATAAAAATTTACATAAAAAAAATATTTTTTTAAAAAACCTATGACCGTGGTCAACCTACTGTAGCATTCCGAGATAGGTGTTCTCTCACTGAACTATTTTTGTCATTACACATTTCTAATACAAATGATGGCAAAATCTTTTGGCACAAGAAATATGTTTTAAATATGTAAATATATGCTTATATATAATATAAATAATTGCAACAATTATATAATAATATTTTACTCACACACATAAATATATACATATATAAATATATGTAACTATATATTTGTATTTCTATATGTATATATATTTATATATATAAATCTATGTAACATGTACATATAAATGTAAATATATATTTGTTATATATATATATACATTTATATATATATTTATATATATATACACACATACATATATATACACATATATACACACACACATATATATATACTGTATGTATTGATGTATGTATAGAACCACCAAAACAGCCAGGAACAGCTCTCATTAGTACTTATGAGTAACACGAGCCTGGAAAATGTTTCCCTGAACCACAACATGTGAAGTAAATTGCTTTTTCAGCGAAAAGTGCAAATAAGCTCTCTGTGCTCTGAGTTTTGTGTTGACCCTACTAATATTTACAGTCTGTGGCAACAACACATTTTCAGCAACCTCAGCACTCACTCCCGGCAGCACAAAGCTGCTCTTATCAGTGCAGATGTGAGCTACACTACAGTATATTTGTTTGTGCTCTGCTGCAGATATATTTGCTCGTCAGCCCACCGAGTCTTTACCCCTCATCTCATTTGTGTCTGAGAAATTCACAGCTCACAGGTGGGAGGGTTTCGTTTCCTTTTCTTTTCCCACACACCAGCTCCATCCGTGTAGGAGAGCGAGCGGCGCGGTGCACACAGCATCACAGGACAGTAAGAAACAGGTTATAAATACACAGCCAAAAAAAACCCTCAAGGCTTCTCTGTGAGGCGGCGGAAAGCGTATAGTAGCTAAAATTCTGCACACTGACTCAGAGAGATTTTCCATGTGTTCAGCATCCAGGTGTGACGGAGGAAATGTCACACCTTTGCCTCAGGTTTACAAGTATAAATATAGAACAGAGGTGTGAAGCTAACGACTCGTGGGCCATGTCAACATGTGGCTCTCAGTTTTAATTGGTTTTGTGAAAACTGCCCTTGTGTCAAATTAACTCACTAGAAGAGCAGCCATGCCAGTGATGCCTTTGCTGTCCTAAGAAAAAAGTGGCATATCCACCAAACAACAGCTAAATTAATCGGTGTTAAGTTGATGAAAAAAAATTAGCAGGGTACTTTTGCAGTGGTCCCAAGATTAAGAAGTCCCAGGCATGTTTTAGGCATGACATTTTTTTCAAAACACAGCAGCAGGGCTGTGTGTGAAGCAAGATCACATACATTACAAAACACAATAATTCCCCCAAATAAAATAAAACTATAGATGTATGTATATTTAATATGACATAAATATACAATAGTTTCATATTACGCACTTTAATTTCTACTAAAATATCATGGATGTGATCGTTTTTTTTTCAGCAGTTCATGGCACCATTTCTAATCAAACAGCCTCCTTTGGTACCGTTTCTGCCTCAACTGGTTCTTCCGCATGTACTGAGATCACAGTTGTCAGCCAGCAGGCAGTGCTGTGTTCACACTCAAGCAGTGCGAGTAGGAAAGTGTCTGGAACATTCCCTCACTCTGACACAACCCACGGTCACCGAGATCAGAGATGTGACAGCGGGAGATCTGCAGCTGACCAGGAGTGACCACTGAGGACCACGTGACAAAAGTCACTGCAATAACTCTGAGTCACACGTTCACATCAAGTGTTAAAGTCAAGGAATATACGGTGGGCTTCTTTCCACACGGCTGTGTACAGTGAGATCACTGTACGCTGTGGTTGGAGGGCAGGGTGTTTGAGTGAGAAAACAAACAGAGAACAAGCACCGTGACCTGCAACAGTGCACGTGTGCAGGGACTAATGTGCAGTGAAGTTTCTATTTCTAGCCTGAGTGCAGTCAGTGAAGTGGAGGATGACAACAACACACTGTCAGATGTGTCTGCAGTCAAATTAGATTACTGATTATTATAATTATTAATATTATTGTCTGGAGATAGAATAGATTTGTTAACCTCACTTCAAACTCACATCTGTGTCAGCCATCAGGATTACACACACAATGGACTGTGCTACATTCACTTTCTTTCATTTGTGTTGTTTTTTGTGAACTTCTTTATTATGGCTCCCAAACATAAGTCAGACTCTTCTGATGTTTTTATGTCCTATACCTGGGGTCAAACTCAAATTAACAGTGGGCTAAAATTAAAAACTGGGACGAAGTCACGGGCCAAACTGAATATTTATTGAAAAATTCACTGGAATTCTGCATGTTTTCCCTTCTCTTCAGATATGTAATGTAAAAAAAATTAATATGGAAACAAACAAATTGAATCTGGAACAACCAAAGATAAATATTATAAACACATGAGAAATTCAATTTGAAATCAAACACAGATCAGAGGTATTTGTTTCTCATTATGTCTCTTTATCTGTAGCCTTTTCAGTTCCGTTTTAATGCAAATCTGTCTCTTTATCTGTAGCCTTTTCAGTTCTGTTTTAATGCAAATCTTTTTTTCACCGGCCAAAACAAAAAAAAAAAACCCAGAAGAACATAGTGCATACACAAATCCTGCCAGTATACAGGGTCTATATACTGACAGGCCAACTCTGGTACACATTTGATATAATCTTGCGGGCCAAATATAATTACACCGCGGGCCAGATTTGGCTCACGGGCCTGAGTTTGACACGTGTCCTGGATTATGATGGCAAAAATTATAATTTTTGATTGCGAGTTACCTAGCACCATAATGATGGAATTTTGTCAAGAACCCAAAACACTTTGTCCTGCAGCAACATGGACGACATTCACAAATAAATAAGTATTAAAAAGTATTTTTTAATAATATGTTCATTTAATAAACCTACCTTTATGGATTTTCATAAAATGATAGTGAAATTAAAGTGAACAGGTAATACAAAAAAGTGACTGAATAAATTAATTGTAGTGACCTGTCATTTGGCACGGTGAACCAAGAGTTGGATGTCAACGTGCCTCATTTGTGATGCAAAATACTATGGAAAGTGAGTTCAACAGCCTCAGTAAACCTGAAAATGTCAGAGCAGTCTGTCCTGGTGCTGCTGCTGCTGCACTTTCACCCAGAGACCAACATGATGAACATGAACATAATAAAACATCAACAATGTACTACCAGAGAAAAAGACGAGGAGAGGAACTGAAGTGATTTCTCTTAAAAAATACTTCATAAAATTAAAAAAATAAATAAATGAAATTAATATATTCTGGATAAATATGAACTCATTTAGTAAATATTCACTCCAACAAACACTGGGAAAGACACAGCCTGTGGTTAAAGGTCATTTTATACCTGCTGTAAACCTGCTCAGTAATGATGAATTAGGAGTGTGTTGCTGTTATACTCAGATAACACACACACACACATCACTTATCATCAACTGGTGGCTCGCAGGCTTAATCCGAACCACGACTGGATTCCAAAAATAAACATACTGCATATTCCGGACTATAAGTCGCACCAGCCAAGGATAAAAGAAAAAGCGACTTACAGGAGTAGCAGATACTGGTACACAAGCCTAGAGTGCCCCCTAGAGTCTGTCAGTGTGACAATAAAAAACATGTAAAATTATGTATAAGTCGCACCTGAGTATTAGTATTGCAAACTCAAAAAAGGAAAAAAAGTGCGACTTATGGTCCAGAAAATACGGTAAATAAATACTAATAATGTTAGAAAAATATTTTAGTTTTTTATATTTTCATTTTATTTGAGTGTCCGCCCCCCCAGCTGTCTGTCCAGAAAAATTCTAGTCCTCTGACAAATATATTTGCTGACCCCCAACATAAATCCAAAGTCGCTACAGCTTTGTACAGTTTAAAGTAGTGTTGGGATGGAAATATATTATTCTTGCATTCAATGTGACCTGTAGTTTTCACGGCCTTTTTAGGAAGTGTTACAGAGTGGAACTCACATCACCAGGAAACATGTGATGTGACATTTGATTAAAACACTGCTGAATGTCAAAACATCATTGTTATTACTTCAGACAGCTGCCGTTACCATTAACAGTGTTTCGGTCCCTATTTTTAGTTCTTCCCCCAGGGGTAAACATTGTCTCTTTCCACCTGCCAAAACCTTGAATTTTGTTCTAAAATAAACAAAAATAAAACCCAAAACAATGCGTATGCATTTGTGTGTGTGTGTGTGTGAGCAGAGACAACAGTCACAGATGAAAACCTGGAGGCAGAATCATTACCACTGTTACCCAGACTCATGTTCTTTAAAAAACAGTGACAACAGAGAGAGAGATTTATTCAGGATGTTGTCAAATGTTTTTGTTCTGTTTTCACTTCTTCTTTCAGGATTAGTATAGTAGACTGGATGCACACACACAGTTCAGTGGGATTGTGACATACAAGCACATGATCATGCCGCTTAAACCATGTGTCAAACCCAAGGTCCGCGGGCCAAATCTGGCCCATCACGTCATTTAATGGGGCCCAGTCTGTTCTAATGTGTACTGGGTGCAATGGGCAAATACATGGCAGGTAATTCACAATTGATGGTAACATTGTGAATTTCATATTTTTTTAAATGAGGAAATGTTGAAATTCTTCTTTTCTGGTTAAATCACCTTCAGTTCTAGAGTTTCTTGAGTGATTGACCAGTGTTTCCCAAACTTTTTTTCTGGGGACCCATATTTTAAAAGTCACAAACCTTTGCGACTCAATTAAACTCCCGGAAAACATGATGCAAGACGACCCCAAAAAAAATCTCTTGCGACCCACCTGAGGGTCGCGACCCAGTCTTTGGGAAACAATGGTGTAAACAGTCCATTAAAAACCGTGCATGCCTTAATGCATCCACTGTGGAATCCACGTTATCTCACCTGTGCATGCGCTCCAGGCCGGCGAAGACCATTACGCCGTAGGACAGACCACTCTGCACCAGGAAGTGGAGGGAATACCTACAGAGCAGAACACATAAACAATACATTATTAATGGTAGTCGGAATACAAGGCCACGGGCTGGTCGGTGTTCTCTTTGTTCCCGCTGCTGTGTGATGATATCCAGGCAGAAGATACAGCGTCATATTTTCCCATCACAATATACAACAGTGGGACGTTACCGATAGATGGTGTATTTTCTCTCCCCTACAGCCATATGCTCCATCTACACACATTAATAGGTTCATCTGTTCAAACGTCACTGCCCACATGCTCTCGTGAGTGCCTTACGAATAGCAGGGCTTTTAAGCAACCCATCCACTAGGGGCAGTGCTGAGTTGACAGCTCGTTACCAGGTCAATGCCGATTTCTCAGACAACGGCAAAACTTTACAACAGTTTTAGAGTTTATGGAGATGTTCCTGCTCAGACAGAGGTCCAGACAGAGGCACGCGGGCCATGTTGTTGGTCAATGCAGCCTGGGTTGGGTTACTGGGTTGCATGAGGAAAAAGAATTCTCCCTGGTTTTGATATTTCTGTCTGTCGTCTTCTTCTTGTTGATCTTATAGCCAACATGAGCTATACTGGCCAACACAGATTATTTAGCTTGTTTGTAGTGGGGCGGATTTTGCAGTGCAGGTATGAAAACGTTCATTACTACGCTGTTCCACAGCAGCAGCGGCAGGAGCCACAGCAGCGGCGGCGACGCAGGG